TTTCACCCATAGGAATGCATTAATTAAATTTCAGTGCATTCCTATGCGAAACCACGCCTCGCAAGATGAAAATTTCACAAGACGACATGACTTGCAGAAAGAATTATTTTTGTCTTGCGAGGCATGACTGTATGGCATATGGCCCACACTCTCAGCCTAGTAGTTTAGGGTACTTTGCAAGGCGTGAAAGAGAAATACATGTCTAATATAATTTGAGTGGGTTATGAAGCTAGCAGGGCTTTTCACCACAATGGGCTGTTCCAATAGAAAAGTTGGGATTTTCACTGCACCACCTAATCCAGGATTTGGAAACTTCATGGAACTCCACTTTCTACCTGCTTGAAAGAGTGCTAGAGTAGCAAAGGGCACTCCATAATCTGGGAGTGCAACACAGGTCCTTAGCCAGGGCGGTTGGCTGCCTGGAGAGACCTGTCCGGTCCAGTCAGGCTCCTGCCCAGATTGCTGCACTGTCACTGAAGAAGGACCCTAGGGATGCTCAGAGCCTGTTTAGTGGCCTGGCCAGCCTAGGAGTGGGGGCAGGAAATCCAGACCACTTGTGATGCCGTGCTTCATTTGCGAAACTAATAACAAAGCACCCATATCTAGTTCCTATCGACTACAGGCCATCTGCTACTCCAGTCTGCCTGCTAGTGCTGCCCAGGGTATTTGCCCAGTCCCCAGTGTGACATGTCCTCTGCTTCCCCAGTGCTGCTGCCATTCCCTGCTGCCATTCCCACTGTTTAAGGTTCAATCAGTATGCCCATTGCAGTCATTTCCTAATACCCAGGCACTGTTGCCTTTTGTTGTGCAATCTTTTTGTTTGGCATAATCACTGGGAAAGTGTTGGAAGACACAGAGAAGTCTTTTTAAAAAGTTTTGCCTGTTTGTATTTTTTAAAAGGGGAAATAATCACCATATAGTATTCCTATTGATGTAATGGAGTTCAGGATATCTGAAAATTCTGAATTTTTAAAATTTGAAATTCTAAACCCAAAGGGCTATAATTCTGAATTGCAGATCCAAATTTCAAATCCAAAGTTTGGTGCTAGTGCACATCCCTAATTAATTCCTGAAGAGGAATGGGTGCATCTAGATCTGTAATATCTAGAGATAACATGCTCTCAGCTTTCCTGACACACCCAGACCAGCACATTAAAGTGTACATCAAAACAAAAAAAAAGGGTAGCATGTTGGACGCCTTTCGACCTGAGGGGCCTATCTTCCCGCATCATATCTTTTAGCCTTTTGTTTCTGATCATGGGGCGTTCTTGGCAAAGATACTGGAGTTACATTGCCAATTTCTACTCCGGTTGGATTGCGTTTAGTTGGAACTCTCCACTGTCCGTCTTGGGTGCCCCTACACAGCATAGCCCATAGCTTCTCTGAGTTACTCAAGCCCCTTCACCACGACAAGGCAGCAATCCATGAATGTGAACATCACTTTAGTCTAAAAAAAAAGCCAGTGATCAATATTTATTTATTTATTTATTTATTGGACTTATATGCCGCCCCATAGCGCTACAAGCACTCTCCGGGCGGTTTACAATTTTAATTATACAGGCTACACAATGCCCCCCCAGCAAGCTGGGTACTCATTTTACCGACCTCGGAAGGATGGAAGGCTGAGTCGACCTTGAGCCGGCTACCTGGGATTTGAACCCCAGGTCGTGAGCACAGTTTTAGCAGTACAGCGTTTTAACCACTGCGCCACGAGGCTGTTAATATTTGAAAAGATTTATTATGATCAGAATTAGGTAAAAAATAGGGATGTGGTGGTGCTGCGGGTTAAACCGCAGAAGCCTCTGTGTTATAAGATCTGTACAACTTCAGCTGTAAGATTGAATCCACGTGACTGAGTGAGCGCCCGTCGCTTGTCCCAGTTCCCACCAACCTAGCAGTTCGAAAGCATGCAAATGTGAGTAGATAAATAGGGGCCACCATGGTGGGAAGGTAACAGCATTCCGTGTCTAAGTCGCACTGGCCATATGACCACAGAAAATAGTCTTCGGACAAACACTGGCTCTATGGCTTGGAAACGGGGATGAGCACTGCCCCCTAAAGTCAAACACGACTGTACAAAAATTGTCAAGGGGAACCTTCACATTTTAGGTAATAAATAGAATAAGAACTCAAACACGTATTACTAAAAGAAGTTTAAAAAGTTGTTTCTTTCTAGCTTGGTCCTGGGTTTAGATACTTATAAGCAGATATAAGAGACATAAGTCTAACTAGCTATCAGCTTCATGAAAAAATGGCCCTCTTTTTTATTGGTTTGCACAGAATCCCTCTCATCATTAAGTGGCAATATTCATCTGCTGTGAATTAATGGTGATGGTCATTTTGTGAGCAGTGTGTGTTAGTTACAGCTGGTGGAAGAAAATAATAAACTTAGCAGTGTGTCACCTTATGGACTAAGAACTGCGTAATGGTATATGCTTTTGTGGCCATCATGCCCTTATCTTGCAGACAGAGTCTATCTGGAATCACAGTGTGGATTTCGAGCAAATAGATCCACCACTGACATGGTATTCTCCCTCCGACAGTTGCAGGAGAAATGCAGGGAACAACAACAGCCACTCTTAGTGGCCTTCATAGACCTTACAAAAGTGGCCTTCATGGACCTTACAAAAGCATTTGACTTGGTTAGCAGGGATGGCCTTTTCAAGATACTTCCCAAGATTGGATGTCCACATCATCAGGTCCTTCCACGATGGAATGAAAGGCACTGTAGTTTTTGATGGCTCAACATCAGATCCCTTTGACATCTGAAGCAGAGTGAAACAGGGCGGTGTCCTTGCACCAACACTTTTTGGGGATCTTTTTTGCTGTCATGCTGAAGCATGCCTTTGGAACTGCAACAGAAGGTGTCTATCTCCGGACTAGATCAGATGGAAAGCTCTTTAATCTCTCTAGATTGAGAGCAAAAACCAAAGTCCAACTGAAATGCATGCGGGACTTCCTCTTTGCAGACGATGCAGCCATTGTTGCCCACTCTGCTGAAGACCTCCAACAACTCATGAATCGTTTCAGCAAGGCCTGCCAAGATTTGGACTAACAATCAGCCTGAAGAAAACACAAGTCATAGGCCAGGGTGTGGACTCACCTCCCTCTATTACCATCTCCACACAAGAATTGGAGGTTGTTCATGACTTTGTGTACCTTGGCTCAACCATCTCTGACACCCTCTCTCTAGATGTCGAGCTGGATAAACGCATTGGGAAAGCAGCCACCATGTTCTCTAGACTCACAAAGAGAGTATGGCTCAATAAGAAACTGACAACACATACCAAGATCCAGGTCTATAGAGCCTGTGTCCTGAGCACACTCCTGTACTGCAGCGAGTCCTGGACACTTTGTGCCCGGCAGGAGAGGAAGCTGAACACCTTCCATATGCGTTGCCTACGACGGATTTTTGGTATCACCTGGCAGGACAGAGTTCCAAATAGAGTAGTCCTAGAACGAGCTGGAATTTGCAGCATGCATACATTACTGAAACAGCAACGTCTACGCTGGCTTGGGCACGTTGTGAGAATGGCTGATGGTCGGATTCCAAAGGATCTCCTATATGGAGAATTAGTGCAGGGAAATCGCCCCAGAGGGAGACCACAGCTGCGATACAAGGATATCTGCAAGCGGGATCTGAAGGCCTTAGGAACGGAGCTCAACAGATGGGAAACTCTGACGTCTGATCGTTCAGCCTGGAGGCAGGCGGTACATCATGGCCTCTCCCAATTTGAAGAGACCCTTGTCCAGCAGGCCAAGGCAAAGAGGAAGTCACAAAGGAAGCAAAACCAGGGAGCTGGACAGAGGACAGATTGGATTTGTCTTCAGTGTGGAAGAGATTGTCACTCTCGAATTGGCCTTCTCAGCCACACTAGACGCTGTTCCAAGTCCTCCATACAGAGCACGCTACCATAGTCTTTCGAGACTGAAGGATGCCTACTACTACTGGCCCTTATAAATATATCGGTCTGGAAGTTGCCAAAGAATTTGTTCATTTTACTGCAAAAAACTCACACAGCATCCATTCTGGAATTAATTTATTCAGCGTTTGTAACCATCAAGATTCGAAGGTTAGAGAAACAGGACTTTAAAAATTTTAAAAAAGTAGTTTGGCCTTATAGGAATTCAATTCCACTATTTTCTTATTAAAAGAAGACTGCCCCATGTCCCGGTCATCGCATATAGATTGACAGTAGAGTAAATATTGGCTTTAGGCAATAATGGGTGGAAATATCTGATTAGTTATGACTCTGTGGCCCTAGTTGTATACTGGAGTTCATTTCAGCTGCTCCGTGGTATGTGGAGTAAGGCCTTGATACCTTTGAAGGATTTGCCCCCGCCCCAGCTCCCTTCAATCCCATTTTCAGACATTCTGCAGTATTTTCCTAGATTTCACAACTGTTTGGAATAAATGCCTGTCAACTCTATATTGTCCCACATAATTTCTGCTACTGTATAATATCATCCTTTCCCTAGGATCCACAGATTATGCTAAAGTATTAGTAGTCTCCATCATATGGCCAGTGATCATGGGTAATTGTAGTTGTGATCCAGCATCGGAGGACCCTAGTTAGAAAAATATAGCTTAAATGTTTAGCTAGGTCATAAATAGAATGTTTTTGCATTTCTCAGTTTTAAAAATTCTGCTTTTTTCTCCTGTATACTGAAATGATGTATCTCACATTTAGCAATATCGAGGAGTAACTGAAATATATCAACTGCCTGTTATTTTGTAGTTTCAGCTGGGCGAGTATAAATGTGTGTTTGCTAGAAAAAATGGTTTTTAGGAATATATAAAGCACCTCATAAGTGACAGAAACTGGAAAATCATTCTAGGTTTTAAGTAGGTAGTGAAGTTTGAAGTAGTGCTGGTGCAGGAAAGGTTTTTTTTTCCGTTTTTTGTTTTGTTTTGTTTGTAAACAGAAAATGTATAAATGTGACTTTATAAAAATAGGATGTACTACATAGAAAATTGACATATTGACTGTTTCCTCCAGCCATGTCATGTCTGAATATGTGCGAATGACTGACAATGAGCGAGATCAGATTGACCAAGATGCCCAGATATTCATGAGGACTTGTGCTGATGCCATTCAGCAGCTCAGAACAGAAGGTAAATGGATTAAAATAATACCTACATTGGTACATGAGTGTTGAAGAGTTCTGAGAATAATTGTATTTTGCATTTTTTTTATTTTAGCTCACAAAGACATTCATTCCCCACAAGTGAAGCAACACAGAGAAGCTGTTTTGGATTTCATTGGAGACTATTTAAAAAGTAATGTGTGTCCTTTTTTATTTGCAATGGTACCATGTATGATTACAGTGTCTTGCCAGAGATTTTTCTCTTTTTTAGAACAAAACAGAAGGTGATGATGATGTGTCTTGTCATAGCTAATATTAGGTTATTAGTATCTGGCCATTATTAATAACTCAAATAGAAATTTGATCTCCATCTTTGTATGCAAGTGTTTTAGATATTTAGATATATAATGTTTCTGTCTATACCAGTGATGGCAAATGCAAGCAGAGCACTACTCATCCGCTACCTTCCACCCCAGCCGAACCTCAGACTGCACCATTGTCAGCCACCTCTTCCTGCTGTAAGCTTGCCCGTTCTCCAAAGAGATTCAGACAGTTTGGAATAGAGAGGTTCCAGAGTCCAGCGTACCCCTATTTAGGTTGAGATGAGTCCTTGTCTCACCCAGGCTGTATCACTGGCCCTCTTTTCCCAAGTCTATCCCCAATTAAAAACCATTGAGAAACCAAAATATAATCATGAGTCCTAGAGTCATTTAGATCTCTCAGAACTCAGGAAAATATTGGACTCATGGTAGCTTAGTTCATGGCCTAAAGAAATTAATTTAAGTATGGTAGCAGGTTGTCTGTTCAAGAGACCAAACAGAAATTCTTAAGTATAATTGTTTTATTAGAAAAATAAAGATTTAAAAGAATTCAGTTTATTGCAAAAGCATAGCAATCAAAAACATTTCCATCTCTAAGCAATCAGAAACTTAGCAAACCCCAGCTAGAAAAATAAAACAATAAAAATCACTTATCTAAGAAAATTAGGTAAGGCAAAGCCTACCCTCTATTCTCCTATTAAGAACTACATCCTACTGATTTCTGGAACTCCAAAGTCTGTTCAAAAATTCATAATCCAAGGCAAAGTCCAAAAACTCAAAAAGTCCCTCTTAAAATCCATAAGCTAAAAAGTCTCTCTCTCTCTCAGCCATCCTCCATTTTTCTCTCCTTGTGCTGGAAACCCCCCTCCTTTCTCTTCTCTGCTATTAACCAATCAGGACGAAGGAAAAGTTGTCTCTCTCCGCCTTTCTTTCTCATGGAACTGCAGGTGTTATTTACTTTTCTTTGCAGGAATGTTTTGACTCCAGCGGCTCTTCTGCTGTGGTCGCCTAGCTACGAGATAGCACACTGGCTATCTGTGGAGAAAACAACTTCTAGATGTTTCTAGTAAAAATGACAGAGACTCAAAATGGATTCCTTCTACATAATTCCATGACTACAAATCCCATTTAGAAATTACATTCTAGCTTCAATAACCTATATCATGACACCTGCTACCTTCCTTGGTTCCGGCACTCCTTCTTTAAGAGATTGGAGATAAGATTGCTTGATTGGTTACAGCTGTAGAAGGGCCCCAGGGCAGTCAATCAATCGGAGGTTTGTGAATGACTGCTTTTGCCCAGAGGTGACTGAAAGCAGGAGGAGGGAAAGGCCCCAGTTAAGGAGAGAAGGAACGTGCAACTTCATCAAGCTTGTTTAAATGTATGTAGAAAATGGAGGATGTGTATGTGTATGTGAGAGACAAGCTTACCAAGGGTTCCCTAGAGAACACCTGGAAGGTGGACAGAGAGTAATCAGGAGTTTGCACACCCTTAAAGTGCTGAGGGAGTCCTGGGACTTCCAGCAAGGCATGTACACAACCCCCTTTTATAAGTCTGCCCTAATAAGAACACTACTGTACCTTAGGATATTTCAGATAGAAAACCATGTGGTTTTTGTAGTCCGTAGACATACTATGCTCCACAGGCAGGACTCATAAGTAAGCCAGGCCAAGGCAATACCATCAGGTGACCTATGACAAGTTTACTGTTCAAGAAACCAATTGATTTTTATAATCATTATTTTATTAAAGAAAAAAAGTAAATTCTATAAAGAAAAATCAGTTTATGCAAAAGCATGCAAACAATCATTTTGCAGGTTAATTACAAAATTGTAGTGAAGTAAAGAAATCATGAAAAATATACAAGCATCCAAGAATAGTAAAAAGAATTCAAAAATCCAAGAAAACAAATAAAAGCTGGTTTAGAAGGCAAATAGGAAGATGCCTCTCCTTTAGTCCAATCAGGTAATCCATCAGGAAAAACAAAATGAAGAAAATCCAAATAAGTAAGAAAGTCCAAAGTCCATCATTATCCTGTAAAAAGAAAAATCCTGTACAAAAGAAAAATCCTGTAAAAGAAATATCCTATTCCATTAATTCTACTACTGCTATAAACTAAGCCATCTTGTTCCCAACTTACTCTTCTTCAAAAACCACGAATCACGAATCATGAATGAATTAATCAATGCCCATAGGTAAAAGTTCCTTTTTCAAGCGTAGCTGGCATTTCCTTATCTTCTTCTTCTCACGGTGACATCCAATCACGGTACGAGGTTGGGGTAAACAGTCCTTCTGTACCTCCTGACTTTCTTCCCATGGGTAACATGTTATTTAGGTTTCAGTGGTTTGCAATGAGTCACAACAAAGTCCATCTATCTTATCATGGAATGTCCTTCTCATGCCCACAGAAAAGCATTCTCCCATCTCTCACTAGCAGATACTTTGTCAGCATTGCAAAAATCATTTAGGCAGAGAACCAAGATGGAATCCCTCTCGCATTATTTACCCACTACACAACCCATCTTCAGTACAAGATCTCAACCAAATACCCCAGTATATCTGGGGCAGATGACAACATTGAAAAAAGGAGGGAAACCTGATGCAAGGAGGGAAACCTCCAGTTAAGGAGGGAAGGACCATGCAACTTCATCAAGCTTGTTTAAATGTATGTAAGAAATGGAGGCTGTGTGTGTATGTGAGAGTGAGAGAGTGAGAGAGAGTGAATGAGAGAGAGAAACTCAAAACTTCAAAAAGGGAACTGATGCAAGGAGGCAAAGCTGCAGTTAAGGAGGGAAGGAACATGTGACTTCAAGCTTGTTTAAATATATGTAGAAAATGGACGCTGGGTGTGTATTTGTGTGGGAGAGAGAGAGAGACTCAAAACTGAAAAAAAGGGAACTGATGCAAGAAGGGAAAGCTCCAGAAGGAGGGAAGGAACATGTGACTTCAAGCTTGTTTAAATATATGTAGAAAATGGAGGCTGGGTGTGTATTTGTGTGGGAGAGAGAGAGAGTCAGAACTTGAAAAAGGGAACTGGTGCAAGGAGGGAAAACAGTTAAGGAGGGAAGGAATATGCGACTTCAGGCTTGTTTAAATGTATGTAAAAATGGAGGCTGTGTGTGTATGTGTGAGAGAGATACTCAAAATTGAAAAAAGGGAACTGATGCAAGGAGGGAAGGACTGTGCGACTTCATCAAGCTTGTTTTAATGTATGTAAAAAATGGAGGGCGTGTGTGTGTGTGTGTGAGAGAGAGAGAGAGAGAGTCAAAACTGAAAAAAGGGAACTGATGCAAGGAGGGAAGGACCGTGCTACTTCGGGAAGGAA